TCATCTGGAATGGCGAGATGGGATGATTGCTGGAATTGCTGGAGCGCAGTCAAGCGGATCAGCATCTCCAGAAGTGAAAGCGATGTCTTGATAGCAGGGAGGGACGTCGGTGCTTGTTGCTGGTATTGTGGGGTGGGCGCAGAAGCCTTTTGCGGTGAGGGAATCATCTGGTTGCTAGAATTCGGTTGTGGGGAGGTAGGCGTGCTAGGCCGGAGATTTAGATTGGAGAAGCGGCCGAGGAAGTCGGGTGGTGTGGGTGTTGCTGCTGGGGATGGAGGAGAAACGTCTTCAGTGAGGTCCTCTGTTTCGTCGATCTCGGAGTCAGTGGCGGGGTCTTCGGTGTATACTTCGAAGGCCATCCATTCGAGATCGAGCGTGGGGGGTAATCGCCAGGGGTACGTAGGTTGCTCGGGCTCTTGCGGGGTGGGCTCTCGTGGGGTGGGTTCTTCGAGGTGTGGTGTCGACTCGCGTCGCAGTTGCTCTTCTAACTCTGTTTGCTCCGGATCTTCATCATCAGCAACGGTATGTGAGTCGTCTGACTCATAGCCAAGTTCCTCGGTATCGCGCTCCATCATCCGCCGAGGTGGTGCTGCATTGACGTCTCGCTTCAGCAGTAATATGGGGTTATTGCTCTCGTTGTCGGAGCCGATGTTCAGTATCTTACCCGTATCGGCGTAGAAAATCTTTGAGACTTCATGTATAGGTATGATCTCACGGACGCCTGCTTGCTCAACACCATCGTATGGTCCTGGTTGGGGTTCGCCATCTTCGAATTCATGCATACGCCCATCATCCAAATCTTCGACAATAACCAGCTGGTAAGCGAACTCTTGCAACATGCTGTCGGATGGAATGTGAGGGTGTTTAGCCTCATCAGCGCGTCGACTGTCTTGCCCAAAGGGTGTCGGATAGTCATAGACGTTGTCCAGGGGAACTCGCATCAGTGTAACACGCGCCTTATGCATGACCTCCTTCCATGTTGTCTCTCGCACGTCTTCTTCATGAGCTCGATGCGCGTATCCAGCGAACAACATGTACACGGAGAGTGTGAAGGTCGGACCAATTTGCTGAGCCCTAGGCTTCGATGCGCAATATTGCATGTCGCCAGAAGTGAGGAAGGTGCTAGCTTGTAGAAGTCGTGATGGAGATACAGTAGCTGGGAGCGTAGTTGAGAGACTGGTACCGGATGTGGTGATCGCCAGATTGATCAGTGGCACCGCGTCTTCAATCCGCTCCAGCAACCTCTTCATCTCGTCGATGATGATCTTGAGCTCGGTGTCGTTTTGGTCGCGTGACTTTGCTTTAGAGCTGCCTCTTCTTGCAAGCTGCTCTTCAGCGACGGCCTTCTCGACACGACTCCCTAAGGTCTGGATATCCCACCGAAGAGATTTGGTGAGACCCACTGCGGACTCAAGCGAGGTATTGCCGCGTGCCGCAATCAGTTCAATCATATCGATTGCCGGTGAGATAATCTTGATCTTGGAGTCGAGTCTAAGTTGCAGAGTCGCGAGTTCCTGCTTTTCTCGACCATCGACCGTCTTCATCAGTCGGCCGCATTGCTTAAGCGCATAGTGGCTGGTGATTGCTATGCCGCTTCGGATAGCATAGCTCATAGCCTGCTGGGTGACCTATCACATGTCAGCATGTTTCAGGAATACGAGAAAATGACTCCCTGTCTGCTATGACGCGTTGGGGGTCAAAGCATAGTCATACCTTTGCTAAGATTGCCTCCATCTTGCCCTATGGGTTGGGCTTCACCCTTGTATGTGTGGAAGGGGCGGTTGATGAAGTGGTTGGGAGAGAGGAACCATGAGGTCAGATATCAGGTTGCTTGGGAACGCAACCGGGATTAAGTGCGGCAAGTGACGACAAAGTGAATGTTTGAGGCTGGTGAGTGCCTTTGTTGCTGGGCGCCCTGGCCAATGTTAGGCAGCGAGGCGTTGAGTCAGCCCCACACAGCCACCCAAAGCAACCCCGCCAAATCCTGCGTGGGCAGCAGCGACCCGGCACATTTTCACTTTTCGCCGACGACACTCGACGCCCGTCCGCTTATATACCTGATAGTCGCTCTCTAGCCGCGGGTCGACCTCACGCATTTTCAATTTACGAGCGACTCAACCGTCCAAATTCGCACGCCGTCGCACTACACCACCCCCGACGACACGACCCATCCCCACGAGACCGACGTCACCATGGCCGACAGCTGGGAGCAAGAGGAGGAGCGCCTCGCGCAGCAGGCGCAGGGCATGAACCTCAACAACACGCCCACGTTCACACCAGGCGCCCAGACATTCACGCCGGGCGCCAGCACATTCGTCCCCGGCCAAGCCTACGGAGGCTACCAGGGCTACAACCAGTACGGCCAGCAGCAATATGGCGGTTACAACCAATACGGCGGCCAGCAGTACGGTGGCTACCAACAGCAGCAAGGCTACCCGCAATACGGGCAGCAATACGGTGGCCAGCAAGGAGGATACCCCAACTACGGACAACAATACCCCCAGCAACAAAACTTCCAGCCCCAGCAGGCGCAGCAAGGCCAGGCGCCCGTACGGATAGCGAAGCGAGGCGACACCGACATGGCTGGCTCAGAGGGTGCCGCACCCGCCGAGGCCAAGAAGGAGGCGCCCAAGGCAAAGGTTCTCTCGATTGGTGGCGACAGCGCGCCTAAGGCAAAGGTCCTCTCCATCGGAGGCGACACCACAACACCAAAGGTCGAGAAGGCAGGCGGCACCAAGGTCCTGAGCCTGGGCACACCCGCCGCTCCATCGGCAGCGAAGGAGAAGGCAGACAAGGAGAAGGGCACCGCTGAGGCCGGCACCAAGGTCACCGCTGCAAAGGCCATTGAGAAGACTGGAGAGCCCACCCCGGCGTCTGGAGGCTCTGGCCGAACCTCGCCAACACCTTCCTCTGGCCGCAACAGCCCGACACCGAAGGAGAAGGCTGCCGAGAAGGCCAAGGCACAGGATGTCGAGAAGGAAATGGACGAAGTCGTTGATGAGGCCACCCTTGCCGAGATCTACGGAAAGGAGCACGTCAACATCATCTTCTTGGGTCACGTTGACGCAGGAAAGTCCACCCTCGGCGGAAGTATTCTCATTTCCACCGGCATGGTCGACGAGCGTACACTCGACAAGTACAAGAAGGAAGCCAAGGACGCTGGTCGTGAAACATGGTACATCTCGTGGGCGCTTGACTTGAACAAGGAAGAGCGACAGCAGGGCAAGACTATCGAAGTCGGCCGAGGTTTCTTCGAGACGGAGAAGCGACGCTACTCCATCCTGGACGCGCCAGGCCACAAGACATACGTACCGAACATGATCAGTGGTGCCTCGCAAGCCGATGTTGGTATTCTCGTCATTTCTGGACGTAAGGGAGAATACGAGACCGGTTTCGAGAAGGGTGGACAAACCCGAGAGCACGCCATGTTGGCCAAGACACAGGGTGTCAACAAGATCCTCATCGTCGTCAACAAGATGGACGACCCTACTGTTGAGTGGTCAGAGGACCGTTTCAAGGAGTGCACCAGCAAGGTGGTCATGTTCTTGAAGGGTCTCGGGTACAACCCCAAGACAGACATCAGCATGATGCCAGTCAGCGCGCAAACATTCACAGGTATCAAGACCCGCGTGCCCAAGGATCTGGCTCCCTGGTACGACGGCCCGTCTCTGCTCGAATACCTAGACAACATGCAAGCGCTCGAGCGTAAACTCAATGCTCCTTTCATGATGCCCATCGCCGCCAAGTACAAGGACATGGGTACTATGATTGAGGGCAAGATCGAGTCTGGTATCATCAAGAAGGAACAGAAGTAAGTCACAGTGTCATAAGCTTTGTCTGCTTTGTACTAATGATATCAGGTACCTCATGATGCCCAACCGACAAACCATTCACATCTCCGCTTTGTACGGTGAACAAGAAGAGGAAATCCCAGGCGCAACCTGTGGAGACCAGATCCGTGTGAGGCTTCGGGGTGTTGAAGAAGAAGACATTCTGCCTGTAAGCAAAGATTGGAAGATTGTTCTGATTGCTTGCTAACTTTGATGACCAGGGATACGTTCTGTGCTCACCAAAGCGCCCCGTCCACTGCGTCTCCCAATTCGAGGCCCAGGTCGTGCTGCTCGACATCAAGTCTATCCTGACAGCCGGATTCAACTGCGTGCTCCACGTCCACGCCGCACAAGAAGAGGTCACCATCACCGCTCTGTTGCACAAGCTGGAGAAGGGTACTGGACGGAAATCGAAGAAGGCTCCAGGATTCGCTACCAAGGGCATGAGCATCATCGCGCGCTTGCAAATCACCGGTACCGCCGGAAACATCTGTGTCGAGCGATTCGAAGATTACCCACAGCTGGGACGTTTCACCCTCCGTGACCAGGGTCAGACGATCGCTATTGGCAAGATCACCAAGCTCATCACCGACGAGGCTTAAATGGTTGATTAAACCACGTATGATCATTCCACAGGGAGGAAGAGAAGGAGCAGGATATCCGTATTGACGAAAAGCTGTCGCCATTGAGGCAACATAGCCTGAGGTTCCACGGCGTTTGGACGCAAGGCTAGCATAGACCGAGCATCCGAACAATATGATGACAAATATTCTTCCGATTCTAGTCATTAGAGTTCCTGTGTGTGATGATCTTCTACTGTACATGTATGATTCTCAGGGCTCGGAGATAAGCGTCACGGCACTGCTGTGAGACAAGCCTTTTAGTGCCGCAATCAACAGCAACCTTAATTAACCTTCTAAGTTAGGAAGTTAGATGCGTGTGCATGAAGGCTAGCGAGACGCAGAAGTCCATGACGTCACGACGCGTCTTCCAGTGAAAGAGCCTCGTCGCGTGACAGTCGCGTCACAGCCATCCATGGATGGATAGCAAGGCTATGCTTACGTCATCCACTCCCGCGGCCAAATTTCGCGACCGTCGCTCACGCAATGAACCTCTCAACCACCACGAACCTGCGCACGCTGCGTAAACCTCCCTCCCCCACCCGTCACGATGCAGGGCTTCAACATGGGGCGGTACTACCCGCCCGACGCCTCGAACCCCCCCAGCTTCAACAACTCCTCCCACCCGCTCGGCAAACGCGCCAACAAGATCACCCAAGGCATCCTAACCGTCCGCTTCGAACTCCCCTTCGCCGTATGGTGCAACCACTGCACCCCACCCGCCATAATCGGCCAAGGCGTCCGTTTCAACGCCGAAAAGAAGAAAATAGGAAACTACCACACCACCCCAATATGGAGTTTTCGCATGAAGCACAGCGCGTGCGGCGGGTGGTGGGAGATCCGAACCGATCCACAAAACAGCGAATACGTAGTCGTTGAGGGGGCGCGACGGCGCGACTATGGAACTACCGTCAAGGACGATACAGCGGATGGCGAGCTCAAGTTCCTGACAGAGGAGGAGAGGCAGAAGAGGAGGGACGATGCTTTTGCGAATCTAGAAGGGAAAATGGAGGATAAAGGGATTGAGAAGAAGAATAGAGAGCGCGTGGAGGAGTTGTATGATCAAGCGGAGGTTTGGCGGGATCCGTATGATGTCAATGCGAAGTTGAGGGAAGTGTTCCGTGGGAAGAGGAAGGTGTGGAGGAAGGAGGATAGGCATAGGGAGGGGATGCAGGAGAAGTTTAGTTTGGGGATGGATATTGTGGATGAGATCGAGGCGGATAGGATGAGGGCTGGGCTTGTGGAGTTTGGCGCTAAGGATGTGGGTGAGGGGAGGTCGTTGGAGGGGTTATCGTGGAAGCCGCTGTTTGGGGAGGCGGAGGTGGAGGATGGGAAGGATGGAGAGTCGGCTCGTAAGACGAAAAAGCTTAAGGCGGAAGTTGCGAAAGAGAAGTCGAGGCTGGGGTTGCAGCAGACATTAGTCGGAAATACGAGGGCGGTGGTTGATCCTTTCCTCAACAAGGAGGCTTCAGCGACGTCGAAAGTCAATCTCGGCATATTGAAGAGGAAGAGAGACCCTGAGACGAAAGACGCAGCTGCGATCTCGTCGCCATCGTGTCAAGAAAAGGAAAAGACGGACACCGCGGTGCCGACGAAGAAGCAGGCCTTGCTTGGGGCGTTGGTGGGATACGACTCGGATTGATCGCACGCCCACGCATTGATTGACGACATTTCACCGACACTATTATTGCATTCACTGGCGTTTGGGCGAAGGAGCATACGATACCCCATTTCCTTTGCATTCACTATCAGCAATATACGCGTACTGGTCTTCTGCAATTACTCGGCTTTCACATCCGCTGCGGTCAGAAAGCTTCACACAATGGCATCAGCTTACGTTCAATATTGCAGTCGCCCGCTTGCTGTTCATTTAACACAATTTTGAAGGTTCCTCCATGGTCTTTACTGCCGGTACAACCCTGAAAGTTACACTCACCAATCTTCCACATCGTCAGCATCTGACCAATACCAAATCCTTGGCAGTCATGAGCTCAACACAAACCCACGATGATGACACACTACAGGTAACTACTGGGCACTCGCCCAGGGGTATCGGGGATCTACCACCAGAACTGCTTCTGAAAGTTGCCGACTTTGCTGCAGTCACCGATGCGAACTCCAAGAAAGTACTCTGCAAGCTCTGTCTAGTCAAGCCTCTCAACCCAACCGCGACGGAAGCGCTTTACGCCAACATTCATGCCGGCGCCGACTTCAACCCCGTCCTTCTCATACGAACCCTCCTCAGCCATCCTGCTCTCGCTGCCCTGGTGCGCTCGCTCAAGCTAAATGCAGTCTGGAACGGGTATCGAAACCAGAAGTACCGGATAGCGATATTGAACAGCGATGACCCCAACACCCCTCCAGTAACTCTCCAAGACTTGCAGGGTTTAACTACAGATCCCGTTGTCAAACGGCTACTACAAGCTCCAGATGTTCACTTCGGGGCTGCAGCGTGTGCATTACTATATCTCCACACACCAAACATACATACTCTGAAGTATGCCGTAGAAGGCCACTACCGCAAACTCAAGCTCCCAGAGCTCTCCATAATTGTATCCACGCGACCATGGGAAATCCCCTTCCTACCCGGCCCGCTCTTGCAGACACCACCAACCTACAACCTCCTCAAAAATGTTACCATACGAACCCCCCACATAGACATCGACCGCATCGCAAAGCTCCTCCAACTACCCAACCTCTATCAACTAGAAGTCTGGAACCTGCGCGAACTCCAACCCCGTCATGCCTGGCACTGGGACGCCGCCCTATTCCCCGACCACACATCCACCGTCCGCCATCTCACTCTGCACGGCGGCTACGTCCACGTCGACGTCTTGAGTCTGGTGATACGATGCTGCAAGTCGCTGTCTCACTTCGCTTATCACATGGCTCGGAATCATAACCATAGGTTTCAGCTCTGGACTAAGTTCGATAGGCCGACGACTATTCATTTTGGGGACGTTGTTGATGCGCTGAGGAAACATAGGGAGACGCTAAGGCATCTGGCGCTGTATAACACGGGGGCGACGGATAGGCGTGTGGCTCCGAACTGGATCCCCGCGTCACTCGCTGATCTGCACAAGCTTGAGAATTTGTGTGTAGACGCTAGCGTCGTGTTTCCTCGCTACGCATGGGGTAGGCTGAAAGATGTACTTCCTGCCTCGCTCAAGCGACTGCATCTACTGCATACCTGGTACGATCTCATGACGGACTGTGTGTTTGTCAGTGGGGCGTTGTATAAGATGTATGATAGATACCTTTTTCCGGGCTTGAGCTTTGTGGAGATGGAGGTGAACAGGGAGTTTTGGCGTTGGGCGGAAGAAACGGAGAAGGAGGATGAGGGGTTTGTGTATAGAGCGTCGGCTGTTAAGGCGTTGAGGGAGAAGGGGGTTAGGGCTGTGTATAGGAATAGGGAGGATGGGGAGAATGCGTGGGGGGTTGTTGGGGGGTGGGCGGGGGAGTAATGGGTGTGAGCAGGCGGAGTGCATTGGTGGTAGGAGACGGTGAGCACACTCCGAATCCTTGCACCGCATTCCGCTCATGGTTTGCTGCTATGAATTTATCGAATTACTAAATACTTGACTTTGCACGTTGTGAACCCTCTTCTTGTTGCGATGATCGGAATCGGTGGAAGTGAGGGCACTGAGTGCTCCTTCCTCTTTCGTACCTCACCAGAAGTCTCTGCGACGTTCCATATCACCGATACGTCATGAGCGCCCGAGCGCAGCAGGCACGAGATTCGCCACCCGTCAGTATATAATCTGCTCGTCCCCCGCCACCCTTCTTCTTCTCTCACACCACTTCTGGCGTTTACAGTTACGAAACGCTGCCTTCCTTCACACAACCCCTCTTACATCCCGCTTGTACAGCCTCTTCGTGGTGTAGGGACTCGAGCTGCGAATTAACGTTCGCGACCTTTGGGGAGGATCGGTTTACATACTTACCACTCGTTTTTTCACTCCATCACCTGGGCGGCTACGGCGGCCCGCCACCGTTTTTGTTCCGAGGACGGTGGCTGAACTTTTTTTGTGAGTTCAATTCTACCCATTTCTTCTTCTTGCGATATGCTAACAGCTTTATATTACACCATGATGACTTCCTCTATCGTCGCTGCTGGCCAATGGCAGATAGGTCAGAGTGACGGTAAGGGTAAGTGTTGACTGCAGGAGCAGTGCTGGACTGCTACATAATCCCCCTGTTCTCTTCTCGTGATCGATACATGTCACCCAGCAGGTAGTCGCAGTGATTTTGTCCAGTGCAGATGATCATTTTGTGCTAATGTCTCCGCGTGACATTCATGTGTAGTAGACGCTTAAGCGTGCAGTGTGGAGTGTAGAAGCCTGCTGACCCACATTCGTCACGTCGATCTGGTAGATCGCCGCCTATTTTGGACTTCATCGCTGAGGCGTGTTTGCATATCCGATAGTGGTGAAGGTGACTTTAAATGAGGTTGACGGCAGGCCGGTCATGGTAGACCTTGATCGAGCGCTCAAGGAGCGAGATGTTGAGAATGCTACCGAAGGTTCTCACCCTTGGGTTTGATGACAGGCGGAAGTTGGAAATGCTCTCTACCCAAGAAAACTATGCCCACGCCGAGGAACCGTTCCGTGGTCAAAATGAGCATCGAAGATGCCTCAGTAGCTTGCGAGGCCTCATCGAAAAGGACCATGTCGAACTTGTCTACATCTGACAGCCCTAGAATACGCTGAATTACCTCACGCTGAGAGGCGGCGGAGGTGGCGGCGACTAGTCAAGGCTTGCCGATTCATGCCTTCATGAGCTCCCGGATGGCTGAGCCGCGAGACGTTGTAGCGCCAGAGACCTTCGGCTGACCGGTCTGGAATCTACGCTTCTTCTTGACCCTCGCATCGGCGTACTTGATGTAGGCGGGGCATGACTCCTCAGTCGGGTTAGAGCGAGCGTACTTGGCCATCTTGTACGCGGAGCAGTCGGGGATGTTGGATGTTGAGATGGAACTGATCAATCCATCGAAGTTGTCTTCATCGTCGTCGTCGGCCTCGTCCCAGTGACGGTTGAGTTCCTTGAAGAGCGATTCATCGACGGTACTGGCTCCCACGCGACACAAAACGCCCTCCTCGATCCATTGCGGGCGGTTCTTCCCTGCCCATTTGACGACGTTCTCAAAGACCGCGTCAACGCCATCGTTGGACTGAGCGCTGACGAAGACGTGTTAGCCCATGAAGACCATTGCGACGCAGATGGCGTGGAGAGTGTGAGATTTGCCGGTGCCCGGGCAGCCTTCGAGCACGAGAGTGGGGGCAGTGCATCCGCGAAGCGCAAGCAAGTATGATCCAACCCCTCAAACAACTCTCTCAACCCCTCGAACAACTCCCTGGGCTTGTAGGCGAAGCAAAAAGCCCTTGCAAGATTATATGGTGGTAGACAACTACATGATATCAAATGGGGGCTGAGGTACACGCGACGATAGTGGTCGGCAGCTACATAGACCTTTACCAGTGCTGAGATGAACGGAAACGATGGTAGAGACAAATACGATAGTTCGATAAGTTGGTCGCTATCATGTGGGAAGCTAGCGAGTAACTCCGGGGTCCTACATGGCGTGTGGTAGTAGCCTTCCAATAATAGGGAATGTCGCAAGCATGCCGAAGGTTAGGACTGGAGATGGCCCAGGGTACCGAACGATGCGCACGGTAAGACTAGCATTGTGTAGGATAATTATTCTTTACTATCTTCGTGGGTTTGTGAGTCTCGATGGTTACGTCATGTCGACGCGAACTAGCGTCGCGCTAGTCAGCTAGGAAGGAGACGCGTCGTGCGATCACGATCATTCACCCATCCGTTGCAACTCATCCGTCTACACAACAGAGATCATCTCGACCACTCCTGCAGCCATCGGATTGCGCGATTGCACACTGCCAGATGTGCAAATGCGAACCCCAATCTAACGCGTTCCTTGCGATGGACGACAACGTGCATGAAGTATGCACGACCATGCGGCGTCTGGTCAATTCTCAGGCCATGAAGTGACGTAGTCCACACGCTCCAACCAAATACTGGATGCCACCTTTCTTTATGGCAGCTTTGCGACAACCCTTCGTCGAGGTCACTGTCGCGACCAGGAAGCTCTACTATGACTAGCAACGGTCGTGCACCCCCTCTCTCTCACATGAGCCGATCTTGCTGTGCCTCACGAACGCATCTTCCCCTGGAATAGCGGAGGATTTACCTCATACAGTCCAGATTGACAGTGTGTTCAGGAAGAAGCCGAATACAACTCAAACGCTTGGTAGACAGGATGTTGCTCGCATTTATAGCTGCCCTTCGTCTGATCGCAACGACCAGACGTTCCGTTCTTTCTCTGAGTGTCGGCTACCTGGTCACGTCCTCCCACAGTCACAACTGATGATTGAAGGCGCATATCGGAAGTTGACAGGCGGCTGATGCATGCTCAACAATTCGGTTGACCGGAAGAATCCTTTCAGCTCCTTGCCCAACCCCACGCGACGTTGTTATTTCCCAATGTGTAACAATCCTATATGGCCGGGGTCGCTTCTCACTAGCATGGTACCCACTATGAAGCATGACTACGAGTCAGTCTCCGAGGAGCTGTCTCGAAAGACAAGACTGGTTGAGGGAGCAAATGGTCTCGTTGATCAATACATCTCTCGAACCTATTGGAGAACCTTCTGGATCACACAATGAGCAAGATTCTACTCACGGGCGCTACAGGATACGTTGGCGGCACTGTTCTCGCCCAGCTCATTGCAAACACAGCACCGAGTATCAAAGATCTCACTTTCGACCTCCTCATCCGCGATGAAACGCAAGCTCAGAAGCTCAAAACCGTATACGGCTCCCGTGTAAACACCATCAAATGGTCCGGTCTAGAAGATGTAGCCTTCATCGAAGACACAGCGTCCAACTACGACATCATCATCAACACAGGCTCTGGCTTCATTCCTGAAGGCGCCATTGCCTTTGTCAATGGACTCGCTCGCGGCATCAATGCTGGCAAGCCAGCGCCATGGATACTACACATATCAGGTTGCACCAATCTATCCGACCGTCCCATATCGCAACCTCCACGACCCATACGAGAATGGAACGACGAGACGGACAAAGGCATGATCTTCAGCTTCATGAGAGCGCTCGATGAGATGGAGCCCTACACGCAGCGGACAACCGAAGTGGGCGTCTTGGAGGCTGCTGATGCTACTGGCGTACAGGCTATTAGTATCAACACACCATGCATCTTTGGCGAAGGCACCGGCTTGTTCAACAAGCAAGGCCTAGTCATTCCCTTGATCATGATGTACGTTGTACAGCATGGATACGGTTGGAAGCTCAACGAAACGGCAAACTTCGATTGGGTTCACGTCATCGATCTCGCCGACATCTACGTCCTTCTCGTACGCAAGATCCTCGAACGGAAAGATCGCGGCGTCGGTTACCTCCCATCTGGCAAGAACGGCGTCATGTTCGCGGCCGTCGGGCGCACACTAATCAAGGACATCAACCAAGGGTGTCTGGACGCAGCATTCGCTGACGGTATCTTGCCACGTGAAGGTACTCCCAAGGAGAGGGAGATTCGGTCTGTGCCGCTGCATGAGATTGCCGACAAGCTCACTGCTGGTCGTCGCGATATCGCGGAGCGTGGTTGGGGTGGGCACAAAGCTACGAAAGCGGTACTTGCACGCAAGCTATTGGGCTGGAAGCCAAAGAGACAGCAAGATGCTTGGGAAGCTGACTTCCAAGCCGAGTTGATTGCACTGAAGGAGAACAGGCGCATGGTGACAATGGAGAGCTGCATCGGCGCGACTAAGAAGTGAGCACCGACGGGGTGGGCTTTCCATTGAGCATGCCATCTTCGAGACCTGTTCATGGAGCGAGAGGATCTATACTGCGCATGGACGGTCTCTTTCAGTTGGCCATCCTGAAGTTCCTCTTACCCCAACCTAGGGAAAAACTGAACAGCCTGGAGCCTACGTTGACTTTGGGTCACCTCCTACGCAAGGTTTTGGGTCAATGTAGTCTACAGACCTGTTCAGTTTTTCTCTTGTATAGGGTGCTCTAGTGATCCTAAAATGCGAATAGAACTACGTTCCAACATCCCCGCTTTCGTTCTCATCGCGATCATGTCTGCAAAATATGAAAATCGCTTCCTGCTCAGGATAGTCTCGACACGTTCCATGCAACAGCGTACGCGGCTCAAGCATCCTTCAGTCGGGAATAACATCCCATCGGAGCTGCCTGCCATCCTAAGCGGCAGGTCCCTTGTGTAGGATTTAGCCACGGCATACGGCGTGGGGTAATGTCCGCCCTCGAGTCAGTGCGGCGTGGACATTTATGCGACACTACCGAGTATGAGCTCATCTTTGCGTCAAAGTCCTAACCGAGCCTCACAGACCACCAAGAGTTGCTTCTATTCAGATAATGCAACAGCAATCTTAGCGCCGCCAGGGGATAGCCATACTTGCTCCAGTGAGATGGTGATCAGGCATGAAAGAGATACCATTTCGAGCCGCGACTGCATAGGCGTCCAAGACCGTTGTACCGGGGCGAAACGACAACCATGTGATTTACCGACAGACATAACGATCGCCAGCCTGTTCTCCCACGCCGTGAGGCACAGCGGGTGGCCCCGAGTAGGCCAATAGGTGTAGTTATGTCTTCACCTGTGGCTGCAGTGGCACTTGGCTTTGGATAGGTCACCTTCTCCACACGCATCAGTTCTTCTTTGGTGTTTGACCATCGCAGATGTCTCCACTGCAGAAAATGTCTCGTCAAGTGCAGCCTCGCGGGCTCGAGAGTGATACCAAGCAGTCTTCGTTGTTCGCCATCGGCATCCCCTTCATCGCAATTGCCAGTGTCGTAGTATTTCTACGCGTCTATGTTCGTGTACGCTTGATACGGCTGAAACTGGCTACCGACGACTGTGAGTTGACCTCTATAGCCAACGCTCCCAAGCAGCATGCTGACAGCCAGAATCAGATTTGATCATCTCTGGCGCATTCTTCACCATCTCGCTGTCAGTCGCTAATATGGTTTGTAAGTTTACGAACCTCGCATCGAAGGCGTGATTGAGCCCAAGATTGACTAACAGCCCGTTTGCAGGCGGCTGGTACGGTGTAGGCAAGCATAGTAAGCAGTCAATACCGATCATCTGCTCGAATTTTAGCTGACAATCTTACAGCACCCGACATTTCCAACGAAGACCTCACTCCTATGTTGAAGGCAAATCTCGCGACACGCCTACTCTACGTTGTAGCAATATGCTTAGTCAAGTTCAGCATACTCGTCTTCTACCACAGACTAGATCCTCGACGACCCACGAGGTGGATCGTATACTTCCTAATGGCATGGGTAGCCGCCCTATCCATTGTAACTTTCTTTGTGCTATTATTCGTCTGCACGCCACCGTCGCTGTTTTGGAATCCTGAGGGTCAGGCTCTGCATCCAGAGAAGTGCCTCAAGCAGGACACACAGCAGGTGTTCTTCAACATTAACGGTATCATGAAGTAAGCATTGCAACCAAAATCCCGACTGGATGTAGACTCATTGACCCTTGCGTCCTACAGCATCGTTCAAGACTTCGCCATATACATCCTACCAATGCACATCGTCTGGAAGCTCCAGATGCCGCGCGGTCAAAAGATCGCTTTGTGCGCTCTTCTCGGGGTAGGACTGGTCGCAGTTGCAGCTGGCTGTGTGCGCTTCTACTACGTGCTCTTTCTCTCCGACGAAGCCGATATTTGGTACTATATGGCCGACTCGTTGAACTGGTGCAGCATCGAGATCTACGCAGGTATGTCTCCTCTCAAATCTTTGATCAAATCTGTCAAGGCTAACCCTGTGTTTTTGCAGCCATCATATGCAGCTCGGCATCGACCTTCAAAGTCCTCATCAAAACCTACCTTCCTAGAGTCTGGAGCAGCGCCGGAAGTCACGACAAGGCTTCCGACTCGCCTCGCGCACAGTCCGATCGATCATATAGCGGCAGATTTGAGATGAAGCGTTTTGGCACATCCTCGAATAAGTCAAGTAGCAACAGAAAGTACGGCATTGAAGGGCTCACAGACCTTGGAAATGAAAGCGAGGAAGCCATGGTGCGACCCGAAAGCAAGATGGGCAGGGATATCGCGGTCTTCGTGACGCAGCACTAGCTTATTTGGAGAGTCGCAGTCTTCAATGAAGCTGGACAGCTTGGTGCTGAGCAAGAGAGATAGACAAAAGTATGGCTTTGCGGGAGTTCTGGTGCCAATCAATCATTGAGGTCAGAGTGTGCTGTCTGTATTACTTCCCCATCCTGTATACTTGTAGATAGCAACGGAGAAGGCAAGCAACTAGGCTGTATCGTGAACTGGAAGACAAGTACACGACAATACATTCCCATTACGTGCTGGGCACTCCAGAAACCGCATATATGATGCCCGTTGCGCGTCGCATGGTTAAGAGTGGAAGTGTGCGCCCGCAGAGCATCTCTTGCGAGGGAAAAGCAATGAGCGATTTGGGACGGGAAGTGTTCTGGGTCCAGATCGCTGCCTAGTGGCGCCGCGGAAACTAGCGGTGATCCGCCTTTCCCTTTTCAGTCATAACGCGGCACGCCTTACATTCACCCTGAGGCAGCCGCCCGTGAACGTCTTCTGGGCTCCGCGCTCGAGCGTTCGTTGCCTTGAAAAAATTCTATTCATGGCTTCGTTCAGGCTGACCCGACAGGCCTCGCGCATTGCAGCCTGGCGCGTGCCCAGATGCAGTATAGCTCGT